TATCGGTCCACTCCTTCTGTTACCTCCCTCACAAAGGGTAAAAATTTTGAAGCTCATAAAACGGGAAATTAACATCCGATTTCATTCAATATTTCTATCAACAGTTTGTCAAAGAAAGCCGTACCCATATTTTTATATCTATATTAGATTTTTTACCTCACACATGTATCCACATTTTGCAAAAAATTGCACTTATCTCATATAAAGTATGGGAAGTAGTCGATATACTCCAAACCTAGCACCTTGTAATATTTACAACAGTCTTAGTTCAGATACGAATTGGTCAATTTTGGCCCACTGCTTCGGTGCTTCTCCCATAAAGGGTTAACAGTTTGAAAAATCATAACTCAAGACTGAGGGTATACATCGCATTAACTACAATATATATCATTAATTAACTAACTTTTAAAATTAACAAGTAAAAAAACATTAAGTTCGGCCGGACCAAACTTTTAATACCCTCCACCTTAGGGTAAAATAAATATTAGAAGAAATGTGGCAAAAACCATTAAAACGCCGAATATCGGGAGGTACCGTTATATGGGGGCTACACCAAAACGTGGATCTATAATTACAATGTTTCGCCACACGAACTAGGACCCATTATGACCCACAAATAACAATTTTTAGACAAATCAGTGAAAAAATGTGGCAAAAACTATCAAAATACCGAATATCGGGAGGTACCTTTATATGGAGGCTATACCACAACGTGGACCTATACATTCAATGTTTTGCCACACGCTCAGGGACCCGTTATGACCTACAAATACGAATTTTCAGACAAATCTGTGAAAAAATGTGGCATAAATCATCAAAATACCGAATATCGGGAGGTACCGTTATATGGGGACTATACCAGAACGTAGACCGGTATATATCATTTTCAATACCAACCATCCTAGACACAATGCAAATAGCTCTGCTAAATTTTGGCGCTCTACGTCAAATAATGTGGGCTGTATAGTGATTTCAACAGACAGACAGATAGATGGACATCATTAAATCGACTTAGAATTTTATACTGATTATGAATATATATACTTTATGGGGTCTAAGACGAATATTTAAGGATGTTACAAACGGAATGACAAAGTTAATATACCCTCCTTTCCAAGTTGGGGGGGGGGGCTCAACTTGTGTTCGGTGCAAAAATATATATTCTTGGCATTTATACTTCATGTCTATAAAAGAGGAAAATGTAGGCTATATAAATTTCTGAAATTCCTCTTGGAATTGGAGATATAGCATCAGAATCGGAGGTGACTCCGAAAAATTTAGATTTTATGTACAAATATCTATTGATCGATTACAGATACAGTCAATACAAATTTGGAATGCGTAACGGAATTCGGAACAAAAATAAATTTGCCAAATTATTTTGAAATAGGTTAAGATTTGGATATAGCTCCCATATATATTTTCGAGCGATTTTATTTATTTGATGCACCAAACTCGATATGTATGTTCAATTCCAATAAAATTTGTAATGAGTGACGGGTTTTGGTCAGGAAATAAATTTGTCAAATTATATTGAAATCGGTTCATATTTGGATATAGATCCCATGGTTCAATCAGAAAGGTTGCTCAACTTCAGGAAACTAGAAAAATTGTAACTCTGTACCGGATCCTATCCGATACAACTGGTTGTACAACTTGGAGAGGTTGTATTCAAAATTGTATCTTTTTGGGGCGGTTGTACAAAATTGTGTATCGGTTGTATGAAAAATCAATTTTTTTTTTGATTTTTGGCATGTTGTACCAACCCATTGTAAAGTTTGTGGACATGTCGCATACAATTTCATTTTGTGTTTATTTTTGAAGAGGCAACACCATTGTTTCACACATCAAAACAATACGAAATCCAATCAAATTTGTGATTTTAATGTATATATAAAATTCAATTTCAATTTATAAAATGGAATTTCAAAAATTAATAATAAATAAATGCTATTGTGTCAATTATAGAGCATGATTTTTTCCGGTGTCATCTTAACTCAAATAAATTCTACGAAAAGTGAAGTTGTACACTAAGTTATATCGTTTGTGACCGAAACCATAGACAAATTAAGATATAGACAACGAAAAGTTAGTTTTGTCTTTTTATCCAGGTGGCTCTCATCATGTTTTGCATAGTCAACATGCTGATTTACGCGTTCAACCCACTCGACTTGGAAAACACATTTTATCGTTTTTCAAGAATTTTACTTGATTATTCCGGAATTTTTTGTGTCATCTCGTACTTTTCACATTTCTTTTATTATGGAACAATTTCCAACTGACAAATATCCTACAGTTTTTGTTATTTTTAACGTTTTAGAATTGAGTGACTTCAACATTCCCACTCAAACCACTGAAACGATATAGACGACATCTGCTGATTCGATTTTTTTCGAAGATAAACGGTGAGAGCATTTCGTTGTCTATATTTTCATTTGTCTATGCAATTGGTTTTGAATTTGAAACAATTTAAAAATATTTTATTTTTTATTCAAAACAATACACACACATATACAAACTGTGCATGTGTTTTGGCAGAATAAGGGCACCAAAAGAAAACAATTGTATTTGGGAGGTAGCTTTGTTCTACCTTCTTTAATTGTGCCATGATAGCTCCCTTGATGCATTAAACACGACACGCATGTCCGACTCCAACACGATATGTGTGTCCGATTCCAGTGAAATTTGGATAGATAGACGAAATTTGGTACCAAAGAGAATTTGCCAAATTATATTGAAATCCCGCCAATAACGGTACCTCCAGATATTCGGTATTTTCATAATTTTAGCGACATTATTTACCGGAATTATTTAAAATTTTATATTTAAAGTTTGTAATGGGCACTACAGCCTATGACAAAAATGTTTGTGTACAGATCCACGTCTTCGTATAGCCCCCATATAACGATACCCCCGATATTCGGTATTTTTCATGATTTAGACATTTATTACCCGAATTATTGCGAATTTCGTATTTGAAGTTCACAATGGGTGCTATAGCCTATGACAAAAATTGTTGTATGCAGGTCCACGTCTTCGTAACGGTACCCCCCGATATTCGGTATTTTGATTGTTTCAGAAACTTTATTCACCGGAATCTTTTCAAATTTCGTATGGGTAGATCTTAATGGGTACTACAACCTATGACAAAAAAAATCACATGCAAGTCCACGTCTTCGTATAGCCCCCATATAGTGGTACCTCCCGATATTCGGTATTTTGGCGATTTAAGCGATATTATTCACTGGAAATGTTTCAAATTATGTATTTGAAGTTCGTAGTGGGTACTGCAGCCTATGACAGCAAATTGTCTGTGCAGTTCCGGGTCTTCGTATATAACAGTACCTCCTGATATTCGGTACTTTGATGATTTTAGCGACATTATTTATCGGAATTGTTTTTGAGAATTTCCAAATTTATTCCAAATGGTGGAGGATATTCAAAGTTCGGCCCGGCCGAACTTGTAGCTTTTTTACTTTTTCAATGATGTGGCCAATTTTATTTCAGGCATAAGAACCAATGACGGGCGTCCACTTTGCAACTTTGGCGAAATTTTCTTTTAGCACATGCTAAAGCAGTCCTTGTTTATTCTGAAGTAATTTTGTAAATCCAAAAGAACACATTAAGAACATATTTTAATTAAATTAATTAAAATATGTACTTACTTGGAGTCAGGCAATGTAAATATGTTTTTTTTTTTGCTGTCTTAGCTCTCTCCTCAATTGAACTTAAAATATGTAAAGCATTTATTTATTCGTTTTCACTATATTTTTCATTTTTTCCGAAAGAGAAGAAATTAAGGTTCAAAATGGAAAAAATGTATCCTTTCCGTCAACAATGGAATGTTGCCAACATTTTTATACCCTCCACCATGGAAAGGAGGGTATATTTACTTTGTCATTCCGTTTGTAACATCCCTAAATATTCGTCTTAGACCCCATAAAGTATATATTCATAATCAGCATAAAATTCTAAGTGGATTTAACGATGTCCGTCTGTCTGTTGAAATCACGATACAGCCCACATTATTTTACGTAGAGCATCAACATTTAGCAGAACAATTTGTATTGTGTCTAAGATAGTTGGTGTTGAAAATTAGATGTATCGGTCCACGTTTTGGAATAGTCCCCATATAACGGTGCCTTCCAATATTCGGTATTTTGATGATTTTTGCCAATTTTTTTAGGGATTTGTCTAAAATTGGCATTTGTTGCTCATAATTGGTTCTAGCTCCGGTGGCGAAACTTTGCATGTATAGGTCCACGATTTGGTATAACCCCCATATAACGGCACCTCCCGATATTCGGTATTTTGGTGATTTTTGCCACACTTCTTCGCGGATTCGTCTAAAAATATTGTGTATATAGGTCCCCGTTTTTGTATAACCCATATGGCGGTACCTCCCGATATTCGGTATTTTGATAATTTTTGCCACATTTTCCCATGAATATGTCTTAAAATTGGTATTTGTGGGACATAATGGGTTCTAATGTTTCCTTTACCTTAAGGTGGAGGGTATTAAAGTTCGGCTCTGCCGAACTTAATGTTTTTTACTTGTTTTCACTATATCTTTTTATTTTTTCCGAAAGAGAAGAAATTTAGGTTCAAAATACAAACATTTTTTTGTCCTTTTTGTCAACAATGGAGTTTTGCCAACTTTTTTAAACTTTCGATTTCGTTTCGATGCCTTACCATAATACCATTTTTGATATTAGACAACCGATAATTGGGCCCCATGTGATATTCCGTATTCTAATGATTTAATATTCACTTTCTAACGGAATTGTTTAAAATTCGGTATTTAGGGTTCGAACCTCCAAATATTTGTATTTTGGCGAACTTAGCCACATTTTTAAAAGATTTTTATACCTTCGCGTTTGAAATTCCGTATAGATAGCGAAATTCCAATAATATAGCAGCAAACCGGTGCTATCGACTTTATGGCATTTTTAAGCTTTTTTCAACCGATTTCACTGGCAAAATTGAAAGTGGACCCAATATTCAATTCCAATTCTTTTATTTTTAAAGGATTTCTTTGCCTGTTTGCATGGTAAGAAGAAGGCAAAGTCATTTCAAATAAACATATCCATCTCTGCATTTTCATTATCAAGTTCCCATTTCTGATTTCTGCATATACTATGGATTTGTAAATATACGTTTTGACAATGAGATGTTGTGAACTTAATAATGTAACAAAATAGAAATTTAAACATGAATGCACGACTTTACGTTCTTAATTCTAGCACGACCTATTCGTTACTTTTACTTGTTAATAATTATAATTTTTATGATTTATGTTTTTTATTATATTTTTTTTTTTAAGTTCGCATAAAGTATTTTGTGTATCATTGTGTTTATATATATCTAATTATGATTGCAGGGATCGTGCTTTGAACTAAAATGCACACAGGAAATTTTGGAACCATTATGATCTTGGGGTATTTCTATGCGGAAGACAATTCCTTGTGGCATGCATACACAGATTTTGTACTGTACACTGCCTGCTCGTAATCCCATTTCAGAATTAACAATTGGTATTTTATCCATGTCGAGATATATTCCTGAAGAGCCTCCTTCTAAGTATGTTGCACCCTGTGTTGAATTCAACAGAATATTTTGTTCAGCTTTCACATACACATCAGCTGCATCGGCATGAATGCCTTCCGAGCCACGAATGGACAAACGATTGTCAAGAGATGATACCACTAAATGTTTATCTACTGGACTGACTATGCGACTGGCGCTATTGACCTTAGATATTAAATTATTAGCTCCATTCGGAATCGAGTAATGTGGCCGGTGGGTTGAGAATATAGTTTCGCCATTTATGGGGTCCTTCAGTTCAAACGTGTTGACACCTCTAAATTGGACTCCAGATTTTTCGACGGCCAAACGATTGGAACTGTGAGTGTTTCGGTGATGCATGCGAACATATACTGGAGCATTGTCGCCCTCAATCGTAACGGGATCATCCAAAAATCCCTCAAATTGTCCTACATTTTTAGAGAATACACGATCCAAGTCTGTTTCGCCATAGAACTTGACAACATCTTCCTCTGGTATAAGTTCCATGCCGTATATGCCTTTTCCCAAATGAAGAACGCCAATTATGGAGAGCGTTAATAATAGATTGCCAATCGTCAAGACGAGCAAAATGACTACAATTGTCCAAAAGGCAAATGTGTTACGCCCCTGAACCACTGCCTTATTTTTGCCTCCCACATTGTAGCGACTGTCATCGTAATAGTTTTCCATTTTCGTTGAAAATACTTTTTCACGTTTATCTTGTCCAGGCTCCAATGGAAAAGATGCTACTGGCAGCGTGCCATGTTCCGAGTTCACTTCGTCCGAATATGATGGAGATGGGCCACGAATAAAAGTATTTTCGAAAGCTTTCATTTTATGAAACTCTTGTATACGTGATGAAACTCTAATGGTTTCGTCGATGTTTTTTTTTTGTTCTGTCTTTTAGTTTGTAGCGTAATAGAAGGAAAACGTATTTGTAAATATGTCGATATATATACGCCTACAATTGGTGTTATTATATTTTGTATATTCAAATGGTCTGTGTCATGCGCAGTCTTGTTATAAACAATTCATCTCTGTATCGCGGCGTGGAAATTGTCAAAATAATTTGACAAACCTTGTATGTATACATAGACATAGATGTACACCATGGTACAATGAAGAGAAGGTAGGCTAACTATGAAAAAAAAAATGTAAGTATAGAGGTCTACCTGTTTGGCTTCTAGTGTCAGAATTAATATCAAAACAATAAAAGACCAAACAACTTGTTGCATTGATTTGGAATCACGCTATCTTTCGAACGAATTGAGATAGAAGATTAAAATTTTGCATTCATGCATAGTTTACCAGTAGGCAGGTTAAGTTCGTAAATGGACCATGTCAATCCACGTTTTCGTATAGCCCCCATATAACGGTAACTCCGGATATTCGGAATTTTGACGATTTTAGCAACATTTTTTACCGGAAATTTAAAATTTCGTATTTGAAGTTCGTAATGGGTACTACAGCCTATGACAAACATTTTTGTACGCAGGTCCAAGTCTTTGTATAGCCCCCATATAACGGTAACTCCCGATATTCGGTATTTTGATAATTTTAGCAACATTATTCACCGGCATCGTTTCAAAGTTCGTACTGGAAAATATCAATGTGTACTACAGCCTATGGCGAAAATTGTTGTATGCAGGTTCAGATCTTCGTATAGCCCCCATATAACGGTACCTCCTGATATTCGGTATTTTCATGATTTCAGCGACATTATTTACCGGAATTATTTCGAATTTCGTATTTGAAGTTCGTATCGGGTACTACAGCCTATGGCAATTTTTATATGCAGGTCCACGTCTTCGTATAGCCACCATATAATGGTACTTCCCGATAGTCGGTATTTTGACGATTTCAGCAACATTATTCACCGGAATCGTTCCAAATTTCGTATTGAAAGAACCTATTGGGTACTACAACTAATGGCAAAAAAAACTCGTATGCAGGTGCACATATTCATATAGCCTCCATATGACGGCACCTCCCGATACTTCGTATTTTCGTTATTTGTGCGACTTTATTCACCATAATTGTAACTAATTTCGTATTTGAAGTTCGTAATGGGCACTGCAGCCTATGACAAAAAACGGCAGCGGGTTCTACGACACCGGATTGACCCGAAACAACAACACTCCAGTTTCGGCCAGCGGCTGCCAACCCAGTGTATACATGTTCGTGTTTGTTTATTTTTCTGTTTTGGGAGCAGCACATCCCGGAATGCTTGCTCCGGATTCTTTTGGTCCGTGCCGGGCTTGAGGAAAACCCCGGACCATGGTTCTGTACGGTTTGCCAAAACACCATCCACCATAGATCAGTCTCGGTGCGATGTAATGGATGCAGAGGATGGGTGCATTTTAGAAATTGTTCCGGTTTAACCCGGTTGCGAGACTATAGCGATAGGGACTATGTTGCTTCGTGCTGCACCAACACAGTCCCCAGTGAGTCCACGACCTCGTCGTCAACTTCCGAGTCGTCGTCGGAGTATGGAACTCCCCCGCAGTCTCCAGAACAGCAACCACTACCGCAGCACTTAACGCCACATGTTGCTGTTCCAATTCCGGACAATGCATCGTTCTTGCAGTTCAATTGCAACGGACTCCGAGGTAAAATTGATGAGATAGTAGATTTTATGAATCGGAGGAATATTAAGATCGCAGCGGTGCAGGAAACCAAGCTCAATGAAAATTGTAGCTTACAACGTTGCAATGGTCCTTTTTGTCAACAATGGAGTTTTGCCAACTTTTTTAAACTTTCGATTTCGTTTCGATGCCTTACCATAATACCATTTTTGATATTAGACAACCGATAATTGGGCCCCATGTGATATTCCGTATTCTAATGATTTAATATTCACTTTCTAACGGAATTGTTTAAAATTCGGTATTTAGGGTTCGAACCTCCAAATATTTGTATTTTGGCGAACTTAGCCACATTTTTAAAAGATTTTTATACCTTCGCGTTTGAAATTCCGTATAGATAGCGAAATTCCAATAATATAGCAGCAAACCGGTGCTATCGACTTTATGGCATTTTTAAGCTTTTTTCAACCGATTTCACTGGCAAAATTGAAAGTGGACCCAATATTCAATTCCAATTCTTTTATTTTTAAAGGATTTCTTTGCCTGTTTGCATGGTAAGAAGAAGGCAAAGTCATTTCAAATAAACATATCCATCTCTGCATTTTCATTATCAAGTTCCCATTTCTGATTTCTGCATATACTATGGATTTGTAAATATACGTTTTGACAATGAGATGTTGTGAACTTAATAATGTAACAAAATAGAAATTTAAACATGAATGCACGACTTTACGTTCTTAATTCTAGCACGACCTATTCGTTACTTTTACTTGTTAATAATTATAATTTTTATGATTTATGTTTTTTATTATATTTTTTTTTTAAGTTCGCATAAAGTATTTTGTGTATCATTGTGTTTATATATATCTAATTATGATTGCAGGGATCGTGCTTTGAACTAAAATGCACACAGGAAATTTTGGAACCATTATGATCTTGGGGTATTTCTATGCGGAAGACAATTCCTTGTGGCATGCATACACAGATTTTGTACTGTACACTGCCTGCTCGTAATCCCATTTCAGAATTAACAATTGGTATTTTATCCATGTCGAGATATATTCCTGAAGAGCCTCCTTCTAAGTATGTTGCACCCTGTGTTGAATTCAACAGAATATTTTGTTCAGCTTTCACATACACATCAGCTGCATCGGCATGAATGCCTTCCGAGCCACGAATGGACAAACGATTGTCAAGAGATGATACCACTAAATGTTTATCTACTGGACTGACTATGCGACTGGCGCTATTGACCTTAGATATTAAATTATTAGCTCCATTCGGAATCGAGTAATGTGGCCGGTGGGTTGAGAATATAGTTTCGCCATTTATGGGGTCCTTCAGTTCAAACGTGTTGACACCTCTAAATTGGACTCCAGATTTTTCGACGGCCAAACGATTGGAACTGTGAGTGTTTCGGTGATGCATGCGAACATATACTGGAGCATTGTCGCCCTCAATCGTAACGGGATCATCCAAAAATCCCTCAAATTGTCCTACATTTTTAGAGAATACACGATCCAAGTCTGTTTCGCCATAGAACTTGACAACATCTTCCTCTGGTATAAGTTCCATGCCGTATATGCCTTTTCCCAAATGAAGAACGCCAATTATGGAGAGCGTTAATAATAGATTGCCAATCGTCAAGACGAGCAAAATGACTACAATTGTCCAAAAGGCAAATGTGTTACGCCCCTGAACCACTGCCTTATTTTTGCCTCCCACATTGTAGCGACTGTCATCGTAATAGTTTTCCATTTTCGTTGAAAATACTTTTTCACGTTTATCTTGTCCAGGCTCCAATGGAAAAGATGCTACTGGCAGCGTGCCATGTTCCGAGTTCACTTCGTCCGAATATGATGGAGATGGGCCACGAATAAAAGTATTTTCGAAAGCTTTCATTTTATGAAACTCTTGTATACGTGATGAAACTCTAATGGTTTCGTCGATGTTTTTTTTTTGTTCTGTCTTTTAGTTTGTAGCGTAATAGAAGGAAAACGTATTTGTAAATATGTCGATATATATACGCCTACAATTGGTGTTATTATATTTTGTATATTCAAATGGTCTGTGTCATGCGCAGTCTTGTTATAAACAATTCATCTCTGTATCGCGGCGTGGAAATTGTCAAAATAATTTGACAAACCTTGTATGTATACATAGACATAGATGTACACCATGGTACAATGAAGAGAAGGTAGGCTAACTATGAAAAAAAAAATGTAAGTATAGAGGTCTACCTGTTTGGCTTCTAGTGTCAGAATTAATATCAAAACAATAAAAGACCAAACAACTTGTTGCATTGATTTGGAATCACGCTATCTTTCGAACGAATTGAGATAGAAGATTAAAATTTTGCATTCATGCATAGTTTACCAGTAGGCAGGTTAAGTTCGTAAATGGACCATGTCAATCCACGTTTTCGTATAGCCCCCATATAACGGTAACTCCGGATATTCGGAATTTTGACGATTTTAGCAACATTTTTTACCGGAAATTTAAAATTTCGTATTTGAAGTTCGTAATGGGTACTACAGCCTATGACAAACATTTTTGTACGCAGGTCCAAGTCTTTGTATAGCCCCCATATAACGGTAACTCCCGATATTCGGTATTTTGATAATTTTAGCAACATTATTCACCGGCATCGTTTCAAAGTTCGTACTGGAAAATATCAATGTGTACTACAGCCTATGGCGAAAATTGTTGTATGCAGGTTCAGATCTTCGTATAGCCCCCATATAACGGTACCTCCTGATATTCGGTATTTTCATGATTTCAGCGACATTATTTACCGGAATTATTTCGAATTTCGTATTTGAAGTTCGTATCGGGTACTACAGCCTATGGCAATTTTTATATGCAGGTCCACGTCTTCGTATAGCCACCATATAATGGTACTTCCCGATAGTCGGTATTTTGACGATTTCAGCAACATTATTCACCGGAATCGTTCCAAATTTCGTATTGAAAGAACCTATTGGGTACTACAACTAATGGCAAAAAAAACTCGTATGCAGGTGCACATATTCATATAGCCTCCATATGACGGCACCTCCCGATACTTCGTATTTTCGTTATTTGTGCGACTTTATTCACCATAATTGTAACTAATTTCGTATTTGAAGTTCGTAATGGGCACTGCAGCCTATGACAAAAAACGGCAGCGGGTTCTACGACACCGGATTGACCCGAAACAACAACACTCCAGTTTCGGCCAGCGGCTGCCAACCCAGTGTATACATGTTCGTGTTTGTTTATTTTTCTGTTTTGGGAGCAGCACATCCCGGAATGCTTGCTCCGGATTCTTTTGGTCCGTGCCGGGCTTGAGGAAAACCCCGGACCATGGTTCTGTACGGTTTGCCAAAACACCATCCACCATAGATCAGTCTCGGTGCGATGTAATGGATGCAGA